CCCCCCAATTTAATTTCCTCTTTCCCTGCGCAGGCAGGACCCCACTCCTTCCCCACCGGACCCCCCTTTCACCGCCGACGTCTCCTGCTTCCCCCGGGAAGGCGAAGACCCCGCCGCCCCCCCAGCCGGAGATCACGGTGGTGTCCCGGCCCTTCCTGGTCCCTCGGGTGCCCGCGGTCCCCTCCCGGACGGCCTTTTGGTGGCTACGGGGGACGAAGAAGCCACAGCCACCCCGGCTCTCCCTGAAGGGGACCCCCCGGCACCTCCCCGTCCCGTTTCCCCGTCCCTCTACATGCTGCGGCTACCGCCGCCGGCCGGGGCGTACATCCAGAGCGAGCACAGCTACCAGGTCGGTAGCGCCCTGCTCTGGAAACGTCGAGCCGAAGCGGCCCTCGACGCCTTGGATAAAGCCCAACGGCAGCTCCAAGCCTGCAAACGTCGGGAGCAGCGGCTGCGGCTCCGCGTGGGAGAGCTGCAACGGGAACGTCGGGTTCCCCTCGAAGCTCGCCGAATTCCCAAGGAACCCCCGGCGCGGCTGGTGGAGCTGCAGCTGCTCGGAGATGGCGGCGAGTGAAGGGCTTCCCGGCGGACGCCCCCGGCTCTTCTCCTCCTCTTCCCTGCCCCGGTGCCGCTGGGAAGGTTTGTAAATAAAGATTTTGCCTTTTCTATGAAAAACGGAGGGGGTTGGCTCACGTCTGGGAGAAAGGGGAGACGGTTTTGGTTTTGCTCACCAATGCGGCAGAAAGCGGCCGCGGGGGAAAAATGAGCTGCTTTTGTTTTCAGTTAAAACGGGCTCGGCAGCTGCTGGGGAAAGGGAGGAAGAAGGCGATGCCGTCGTGGAGGCTTGGTCGTGTGCCGTGTGGGTCTGAGATCCGTGGGGGAGCGCGGGCTGCCTTCTGGAGCTGGTTTAGGTCACCGATCGGGCAGAAAATTGGGTCAAGGAGAAATAAATGGGGTTTTGTTCCAGATCAGTGAGCTAAAGCGGCTCGATGAGCCCTGGGTACGAAGAGAAGAGTGTTTGGGGGCCTGATACATCTCCGGGGCCGGCCTTGTGGGCAAGCAAGAGGCCAGCGCTGAGCAAATACTCCCTCCCCAAGAGCTGGGAGGATTTTGGGGCACTATCTGCCCCCTCCAGAAAGGATAAATGAGTGGGTTAGTCCCCCAAAAATGGCCCTCATTGGCCCAGCACCCACCTGGACCCAAATAATCGGAATTAAGCCTTTAATTTCTGCAGCCAGCATGGCATGGAGGCACTGGGGCGGGATAACGAGCACCAAGACCAGCCCGTCACCCTTGTCATGCTCCGACAGCATTAAAAACTCCCCAAAGGAAGCAAAAAAAAAAAAAAAGCCTGATTAGCCCCAAATTGGCCTTGCCAATCACCCCAAGGTAGTCGCCATCACGGAGACCCTGGCCTGGCGTGGCTCCTTCTTCTACAGGTTGAGCTTCATGTCCAGGATGGCGGCGTAGATGTCGGGGTTCAGGGGCACGTAGGACTTCTTCTTGTCATCGCGGAAGAAGAGGGGGTCTTTGATGACGTTGGGGTCAAAGCCTTCTTTGACGAGGTTGCCTTTGCACTGCTTGAAGGTGCCCGTGATCTCCAGGGCATCCTGTGGAGATGGGACAGCGTCATCAGAAACTGGAGGATGGACGGCATTACCAGTTTGGGGTGACTGGCACCGTCGCTGGCAACGTGGGGGACCAACACCGTCATCACTGGAATTAGGGGGGACCCGTATGATGTCATTGGCACAGGGTGACCGCTGCTGTCGTGGAAAAGGAAGGACCATCATCGGGAAGGTGGACCGACATCATCATCAACACGGGGTGACCCCGATGTTGTCATTGATACTGGGAGACCGTCGCCATCTCCAGAAATGGACGGAGAGTGCCAACAACAACAGGGTGACTGTGGCACTGACATCATCTGGGGGGGGGACAGGCGCTGTCACCGGTAACGGGGGACCCCAGCACCGTTACTGGCACCATCATCGGAAACTGGGGGGGACACGCCGACACAGTCACTGGAAACGGGCGCTGGCGCCCGCGCTGCCCAATCGCCCTTCGTCCGAAGGACTAATTTGGCAGAGGACTTTAAAAAAACAACCCAAAACCTGTCCCCCAGAAGCCACCCCACCGCCTACGGTGAAGCTGGGACCGCTGACCTGGATCCGCACGAAACGGGGCGCGGCGTAACTGGGCAGCGTGTCCCCGGTGAAGGCGTAGAGGCTCTCGCCCTCAAAGCTTGTCCCGGCCTTCAGGCAGATGGCTGCCATGCCGCACCTCCCTTCGCACCCTGCAAACAATGCCGGAGGGTTATTTTGGGCGACCAAGTCTCGTTTTATTCTTCTTGGTGGCCACCTGGACCGTTATGGGAGACCCGTTGCGTGCTCAAAACAATGTTGCACGGTTTGGGTGGATGTGTCCCGCTTTAGCCTTCTCGGTGGCTGCTGGGACCACGATGGAGGCACATCATGGTCAAAACAACACAGGATGCTTATTTCAGGTGAACATTTGCCATTTTTGCCTCCTTTGTGGCCATATTTGGACCATTATGGTGGCATACGGTGTGCCCAAACCAGGAACTGATGCTCACTTTGGGCAACTGAGTCCCCTTTTACTCTTCCTGGTGGCTGCTTGGACCATCATGGAGACATGTCAGTTGACCAAAACATCACCAGATGCTTCTTTTGGGCAACCGAGTCACATTTGACTTTTTTTGGTGGCTACTCGGACCACTGCAGGGGTAGGTTGCATGCCCAAAACATTGCTGGACACTTGGTTTGGGCAATCAAGTCCCCTTTTAACCTTCCTGGTGGTCACTCAGACCTTTACAGGCACCCTTTGTGTGCCAAAGCCGTGCCAGAAACTTATTTTGGGTCAGTAAGTCCTACTTTAGCCTTCTTGGTGGTCAGTTGGACCATTATGTGGACATATTACTTGCCCTAAACAAGACTAGATGCTTTTTTGGGGGCAACCCAGTCCTGTTTTACTCTTCTTGGTGGCTGTTTGGACTGTTGTGGCAGTAATCATGAGACCAAAACAATACTGGACTCTTACGTTGGGTCAATGAGTCCTGAAGTGGTCAGGCAGTTGGACTAGATGATCATTGTAGGTCCCTTCCATTCTATTCTACTTTAGGCTTCTCGGTGGCTGCTCAGACCATTCGGGGACACGTCACATGGCTGAAACATCACCAGATTCTTATTTTGGTCCGACTCGCTCCCCCCGCACCACCCAGTACTCGCCTGGCACGGACACTCCGTAGACGTTGACCTCCTGGATGAAGTTTACCAGGGCAAGAGTGGCCTCCACCTCTGTCGTGGCCACATTCTCACCTTTCCAACTGAAGAAGAGAAGGGATGAAGCTGTGAGGGGGGATTTGGACACGGTATTGCCCAGGCAGATGTGGGTGTGAGAGCATCAGAGTTACCGGAAAGTGTCTCCCACGCGGTCCTGGAAGTAGATGAATCTTTCATGGTCCATCATGAGGAGGTCGCCGCTGTTGAAGAAGGTGTCACCTTTGACCAAGACGTCCCTCAAGACCTTCTTCTCCGTCATCCGGGAATCGCCCGCGTAGCCATGGAAAGGGGTATTCTTGGTGATTTTTATGACCAGCAGCCCTGTCTCGCCTTTGGGGAAGGAAAGGAGAGTTGGAGGCTGGTCAGCAGCTGCCTTGGCACTGGGGAATGTCACCTCCGTGCCCCACTGGGTGCTCAGGGATGATGCTCCTATTTCTTTGGGGGGTTTCTGGTGGCTTCCAGCCACCAAGATGATGATGATAAGGACCAAGAGGTGGCTTTGATGCATCTCAACCCTCTGTCTGCCCCCCTTTCCTCCCAAAATGGCCCTCGTAAGTCTGAGCTTTTCTTACCGGGGCGGACTCGGATGCAGAGACCTCGCTCGTCACGTATGGGTTTGTCCTCCTCCACGTTGTACTTGATCAGCTCAAAGGGAGAGAAACACTGGAGGGCAGAAGGGGGACAAAGAGAGAAACTGGTGGGTGGAAGAGAAATGTGGGATTAAAAAGAGCGAGATTTTCTTTCGAGCGCCAGGTCCGATCCTCTCATTTGTTCATTACAACCCACAGAAACTCACCCTGCCCCCCCCAATCCCAACATCCTGGGTAGCCACTTGTTTTCTGAGCTAATTGTCCTTTATCTTTAAATAAGATTTAATATAATAGAGTCAACCATTGACCAAACTCATCATGATATCTTTCAAATCAAAGACCTGGGGGAGAATGCTGAGCGTTGCAACTGTGGGAAAAGGCTGGACAAAGCCTTATTTTTGCAGCTTTTGCTCAACACATGGGTGGTTGGGGACAAAGAATTGACACCAAAGTGGCCTTTCTCGGGGCTATAGAGGTGTCCAGGTTGCCACGGACACTCCAAAACCAGACTTTGAGTCAACATTGGCCAACCAGGTGGAGGAGACTCCTTTTGGACATGAAGAGGGGATCTTGGAGATCCTGCTTTTGTATCAGCCCAACCTGATGGACAGTGTTGGTTTCCCCAAGGAGATCACCGTTTGTGCCATCATGAAGAGGATATCTGGAGATTCCCCCCTCAGCATCAACCCAACTAGAGGTACAGTATTGGTGTCCCCAAGGCAGTCGGCGTTTTCTCCCCCCACCATCGTCATCGCCAGCGGCTCACCTTGAGGAACACGTTGGCTCTGCCCACGGCCCCGATTTTGCCGGTGTAGTTGATGAAGCCGGCGTTCCCCTCGGTAGCTCCGTAAAACTCCCAGATGGAGATGGGCCCGAAGCGCTGGAGGAACTCCTTCCACACCTCTGCCCGCAGGCCGTTGCCCAACGCCAAGCGCACCCCGTGCTCCCGGTCATCAGCGCGCTGTGGGGTGACAAAGGGAGGGACCGTCTCAGGGTGCGCCCCACAGCGTCACGTTCCCCCCACCACCCCGGGGTGGATTTCGGGCTGGTGGGGACCTTACCTTGGGCGTGTTGCAGAGGTAGCGCATGAGCTCGCCCACGTACTGGATGACAGAGACGTTGTAGCGGCGGCAGTCGTCCCAGAACTGGGAAGCGGAGAACTTGGTCCGTAGGACGCAGGTGGCCCCTGTGGGGATGTGGCAGGGTGATGGTTACCCCTCCCTTTTTCCTCTCTTTTTTTTAACCTTTTCTCCACCCATCTCTCCATCCCTCTATCCATCACCATGAGTATCTGTCCTGTCCATTCACCCCCAGAGTCATCCATTATCTACACGGACACCCTTCTCCTGTCTTCGTTTCATCCGACTCTTTCCTTTTCCATCCCTACACTTTTTGTCATCTCTCCGTCTATCTAGCCATCCATCCTCCCACTAATCCATTTATCGCTGTAGAGATCTTTCTCCTTTTCTCTCTCTTCTTTCCTCTTCTTCCCTCTATCCTCACATTTTTCCATCATCCTTCAGTCCATCTCCAGAAAAAGTCTGTCCAAGCCATCCATCCATCTCCATAAAACTTCCATCTCCATAAAACGGCTGTCCATCCATCTAAAATGTCCACCCACCCGTCTGTCCATCCCTCATCCATCTATGGACACAGCTCCCTCTCTCTCTCTTCTTCCTCCACCTTCTCCCCACGCATTTCTCCATCTGTCCATCTGTCTCCAAGACCTCTCTCTGCCTGTCCTTGCCTGCACCCCCCCTCCCTACACCGTCTGGGGCCACGTGGGACATGGGGGTACATACCGACCTCGAAGCACCCTCCTACCCCGATGAGCAGCCCGGCCGAGTGGTAGAGCGGCAGCGTTGTGTATATGACATCATCAGACCGCAGGCCACAGAGCTGACCCAGGTTGGCCACCATCATCAGCTTCATCTCTGTGATCACTGCTGCCTTGGGCAGCCCTGGGGAATGGGAGCAGAGGATGGGAAATGTCCTTCTTGGAGGTGCCCGTGTGGGATGGGAGGTCCTGGAGATGAGGGATGGGATGGGGGGGCAAAACCTTTTCCCTCGGGGTGGTGGGTCTCCATCCCTGGAGGTCTCTAGACCTCGCTGGGAGGAGCCATGAGGAACCTCATCCAGATGCGCCTGTGTTAATTGGGGTGGGATCTGGTATGGGTTCAGGGTTGGATGAGGGACATCCAATTCTCCACCCTGTCCCCACGAGGAAGACCCAGGTACCGGTGAGTCTCCATTCTTGGAGATGCCCAACCCTCGCATGGACGCAGCCAGGAGACACCTGGCCCAAGTGGACCTACGATGGTCGGGGTTGGCGAAGGGCCTCCACAAGACCCCTCCAACGTCCCCAACATCACCTGCACTGCCTTGCCCATGCAACCCACGTGGGACAACCTCCTTTGGCTCTTCACCCACTACACCCAAACCCTCCCAGTTGCCGTTCTCCAAGGAGCAGACCCTCCTGCCTTTGGGGTTTCTGTCCCCACGGCCTCACCGGTGGTGCCGGAGGTGTAGATGTAGATGGCCTTGGACTTGGCAGTGATGCCGGCGCGGTGGTGGGCGGGCAGGGGCTCATCGGAGGCCGCCTCGATGGCGGGCAGCAAGGCCTCAATGCCCAGCGTGGGTGACGTGGAGCTCAGGTAGAAGACGCGGATGCCGTCGCGCTCCAGGGCTGGCAGGACCTCCTCCACGGCGGCCTGGAGATCTGCGGGGAAGAAGGGGGGGGGGCCCCCCCAGATGGATGAGTATCCAAGAGGGGAACCCAACGGGTCAGGGATGGGCATCTGATGTTCCCCTAGATGGTGGCCCCCCCCCCCGGCATCCCAAACGGGCACCCAAAGGACCCCAGATGGGCACCGGTCGCACCCCAAATAGGGACCCCAAATTGGGTGGGCATCCTGGACATCCAGGACAGGTGCCCCAAGGATCCCAGACAGGACTGGCACCTGGAGTATCCCATATGGGAGCCCCAAGGATCCCAGTTGGGTACTCAAAGCACCCCAAAAGGGGTCCCTGGTCACCGAGGCACCCCATACATCCCCATGGGGCACCCTGAGCACCCCAAAGGGGTGTCCCCACCAGACAGACCCCCATGGAGATCCCAAACAGGAC